AGGGGGCGTTGCTCATCCCCGTTTCCAAGCTGTAGAGCCAGTGTTTGTCCGTAGACAGTTTCTGTGGTCATGTGGCCAGCGTGACTAGACACGTAAGACATGTAGGGACGTGGTGGCACTGCAGCACAGAGGCTTCTGCAGTTTAACCTGCAGTGCCACCACATCCCTATATAGCTATATACATGGTTACAAAGTAGAGAGAATAGCTGATACATAGTAATGTGTATGGCTAAAGAAGAGAGAAAATCAACGATTTTCAGCTACATAGACTATCAGCTACATAATCAATAATTAAATAATATTGAATTGGATCAATGGGAATGAATTTGGAAAACAAACATAAAATTAACTAAATCTGTTGTATTTAAAGAGAATATATACAAAATATTCTACAAATGGTACATGACACCTACAACACTGGCTAAAATAAGCACTCAGACTTTGTCCGAATGTGATTTTTCCTTCTCGCTCACTGTCTGTATCTTTTTATTTTCTGATATGTGGAACTATTAGTAGAAAATAATGTATAGAATTATGATGAAAAATATTGATTTGTAATATATCCGTTCAAATCCACTCCCTTCCGAGGGTATCCCTATCCCAGCTGTCCCCAATGTTACCCCACCTTTATAAGGAAAATAATAAAACAATAATAATAATAATTTAAAAAACAACATCTGTATTTGCATTTAGGCCAGCTGTTTCTCATACTTTATAGGTGTGTTGGATGACATGACTGGCCACAATTTTGCAATATGTTTCATGGAGACTACCACAACTTGCTTTTATATCAATGAGACTTCATCCCACTTAATACATATAGGATCAGAGTGTAATAAACATTCGGATTTCTAGAAGCACAAGCCATGTTTTTGAGAATAAAAATATAAGATGACTCAATTTATAAGACAACCTCCACTTTTCCAGCCCCAAATAAGAAAATTTGATTGCTGCTATCTCCCTCCACTTCCTAAGCCCTGCAAAAGCTTAGGAAGTGGAAGGGTAAAGCAGCCATGAAAGGGCTGGAGGATCAAAGGGCTGTGATCCTGCAGCGCTTTGATCCCTTCCCCCGTACTTCTGTGTATGAGACGACACTCAATTTTCAGTATAAAGATTTTAGATAAAAGTATTGTCTTATACATGGAAAAATACAGTACCTCAAAGGGACCTTTTCAGTCAGCAAGGAGACATTGGTTGGGTGACACAGTTAAAGGGGCAACCTTGTCCTTTGGCCAACTGCCTAACCTAGTAGCACTATGGAAGAGGTGGCTTAAGATGGAGGGGTTAGAGAAGATCCTGTGCTTACCTGGGGAGTGTGTAACTCACTAGTGCAGTGGTAACGGAAGGGACACTTCCCTGGGGTACCTTCCATTGGGTTCAATCATCAAGCCAAACAGAGACTGCAGCTATGTCAGAAGGTAACTGAGACTTGCAAGAACAGCCATGAAGAAACTAAAAACAATCCTTAAGTGTCAATATTTGTCAGTGCAAACCAAAGCCAAAGTAATCTACACTATGTTGCTCCCAGTTATAATGTAAAGATGTGAAAGCTAGGCAATACAGGAAGTTGGCAGGAAAAAAAAATACACAGATTCATTTAAAACGTGATAAAGATATCACAGACCACCAGAAAGACAAATAAGTGGGTTCTAGATAAAAATCAACCATAAATTTCCACTAGAAGCTAAAATGACCAACCTGAGAGTATACATTTGGATATATTGTGAGAAGACAAAATTCACAGGAAATTGAGATAGCCTGCCTCAATAAAAGAAGCCACAGCCTTGAGTTCTCAAGAGCTGAGCACCAGGTACCCGCTATGGTTGGTGTGGTGGTAAGAACACACACACTAGCAATCCTCCAAGCGGGAAAAAACACTGCTTCACCCCCAGTTTTTTTAAATCATCATCACATTGTCTGACACTCCATTCTCTCACTCTCACACTCATATATTTTTACACATGCACCCACCCACCATTTTCACATACATATCTTCTACAGGCCTCCTCTTCTTAATTGATTCATGCAGCTCAGCCTTAGTGTTGGGCTGGGAAACTGCATGCCACAATGGAGGTGATGAATGGCGTCCCTTTATCCCCATCTCTCGGGATGCCAGGATTTCATACCCAATTTTGTGACGGAGCAACAGCAATCCTCCCTGCTAACCTTCCTCAGTGCTTCCAAAATAGAGGACCATGATCAGAAAAAAAACCTATTAGAGAAACAGCTTGCAGAGCCTCCCTGAGCTCTGAGGTTATGTCAATTAGCCTGCTTTTGTGTTTGTGTGTGAGAGAGAGACTGGTCTTTAGCACTTAAACATGGTGGGATTCCTTGGGTGTCTGATTACCAAACTAAAGAAACAGTGCTGCAGTTACCATTTTGCAATGTTAGCACACTTTCACCTGACACAATGGACATTGAGGTTCTTTTTGTTGACATGACACTCACCTAGGCAGAGCTGAATACAAGGGGCACAGAAATTTGTGAGAACAGCCTAATAAATATGAGGTGGAAAAGAGGGGCAGAGAAATAGTGGCCACTACCCTTTGTGTTTCTAGTGACCGGGTATTGCTGGAAGAAATTTCTTCTAAGTGGCACCAGATTCTTTTTCAACACAGATTTGAAAGTAAATCCTAATTTTCTGGGCAATGTGTGAAACACACCCAATATGTGATCCACAAACACACATATTGTTGGATCCAAAACCATACTATGTGGTCTGCAAATACAGTAATTCCATACATTCCAGAAAGATCTGTCTTCAACTTTGAAAAGATTCAGATGACCAAGTTTTCAGCGGGGGAAATTGAATTAATCAGTAATTATATATGTTTAAAGAAAACTCCAGTCCACCTTGGACTTCTGGCCATTTATAAATGAATTGCTATTAATTACATTTTTATCCCATCATGGGTCTTCTCCTGTCTCCTTCTTATCCTTTTTATTCTTGTGTACCTGTATAGGTAGGTTAGGCTGAGATGAAGTGACTTGCTGAAGGTTATCCAGGAAGTCTCATGATTGAGTGTGGACTTCCATCTTTACAATGACAGTGTGGATCACTTCTAGCTAGTGATGACAAGCCAAGTCACGTTACCTTAAAATACTCCATTGCAAGAACTGGGATTGGAATGGGATAATTCATACACTTCTTATATGGGGAACAAATCTGACATGGTGTGAATCTTGTGTGTCTACACATAGTCAACTAAGTGTATTAACTGCACAAGGACACTCCAGTCTAATGCATATGCATTTAAGGAAAAGTCTAATTTCAGATAAAGAAATGAAACTTGAGATGAATAATATCTTGCCCTATACAGAATCTTTTTGAAAATACTGTTCCAGTTATTTCACAATTAGATTGTCAACTGACCAATGCATTCTTTGTCAAACTAGTAGAGCCATATTCTGTTAAAGAAAAATCACTGGAGTTATCAAAAAATAAAAAATAAAAAAGGGGGGAAGTGGAGACTCTGACTTCTGCTCTGCCACGAAGAGATTTGAATCTTGTAGCCTCTTAATCTTCCTGAAAAATTGAGAAGAAAGCCCTCTTCTTGTAGTGAGATTTCATGCATGCATACACCCTCCCCAAAGAAATCTTATGAGAAAAACTGTTGGGGTTCTCAGAAGTTTCAATGGCATTTTTTTTCTGAAAGAAATGCCAAGCCAGATTATTACAATTCTTAAACAAGATGCCCCTACAAAGGGTAAAAGAAACACCAGCTGTGCAGTGATGATACAAATCCTGCATAGAACAGTACCTTTCCAAGGCAGGATTAACCAGAAAGTGAATTACACTGCACAAAATCTGGCAGTTTCATATGCAGAACAACATGCAAAAAAAGAAAAGAAAAAAATAATGGAGCAAATGAGGCAGAATTTTATTTTTTTGAGGATCTCACTGGTGCTGGGAGAAGACTCAGTAGAGACTGCTGATATGACAAGACTCAGGAAATCACTGAGAAAGAGAATTTTTTAAGTACTTGTCACATCCCTATCTACCTTCACTTGACAACTGTCAGATGCCATTCTAGATGCACCTATAACGTGCTAAATTCCTCCACATTCTGGGTTAAAGTAGATGATGCATTCATCAAGTTTTTAGAAGTGATTCCTTGAGTGATGAAAAACTGGTTGTTACGGCATGTGGTTTTCTTCACGTAGCCTGCATTTAGGGTACTTTGTTTTGTGATCACAAGAATCTAAGCAAAGGATTAATTTGCAAGTCTGATTATTGAGGCAGGCTCCTCTGAAGAAACAAGAAGAAAAACTGGAAGAAAAAAGAAGTTAATCAGGAGGAATTCAGATTTCCCTTAGTATCTAATTTGACCACTTCTTTCTAACCCAACAAGGCTTTGTTCATCATGTTTCAGCTTCAACTCCTTGTTTCTCCTAGGAAGGTGGTACTTTAAAATATTTTTTTAATTTTTTCTTCTGTCAGGTAATATTTCAATTAGTCTAGCCTATTGTTTTAGCAGTATAAATCCAGACAGAAAGGGGAAGAAAATCCCTTGGATATTTTCTAAACCTTTTTCATTTTGTTCCACTCCAAGATAGTACATGAGAGCTAAAGCTACTTTCTTTTCTATCTGCTAAATATTTCTCCCTCTAATCACAATGCTTTTGTCTGATGTACATTACCTTCAAGAATCACTAGTCATTGCTAAATGCAAATAGGCACATAGGCAAATTATATTAAGTTTGCACAATTGATCTTTCATCATCCTTAAATTGTACCTTTTAAAATCTCCTGTAAAGTCAGTCTGAAATACTCCCAGCGCTGAGTGTCACCGAGTGGAGCAGGGTCACTTTGGGAAAAGCCATTCTCAGTGATGTAAATTACAGGGTGATTATATGTATCCTAGAAAAAGAGTGCAGACATTTTATTCAGAACAGATGTTAAGAAAAGCCCATAAAATCAGGTGCATTACCCTCCATCTACTTTAAGCTACAACCCCAAACTAGTTTTCATCAAATTGCACTGACCCTATTAACTTAATTTTCCATCAAGCTGACCTTTTACGATTAACAATGGAAAAGCAAAACTGTGCAAATATCCATGAAGACAAAGAAATTACTTATTTTAATGAGAACACTAAAATATCTTTTTTCTACATTAGCATTTGCTTTCTGGTAGCTGCTTTTTAGCATGTTGGTCCTGCCAAGGCATGGCAAATTCCATGGACAAAAGGAAGCTGAATATACTATGCATGCATCAAGGCATTAGAATCAAAGAATCTGTCCCTCTGATTAAATAATTCAAGGAGAGAGTCAGGGTCCAGTCTCTCCTGTTGGAATTTAAACCCACAGAACTGGAATTTCAGCAGACAATGGGCAAGTTTTTAAAAAAATATATATCACTATTCTCTCAAGGACAGCCTTACAAAGAATGAGTAGATCTGAACACAAAACCCCTGCAAATACTAGTTTGATTTTGCAGAATTGAGTAGGTCACTCAAGGAGTATTATGTGTGGGATAGTCTACCTCATACACTGATGTTTCCTATTATCAGCCCACCATGTTTGCAACTGTGTGATGACTTCTTCAAATAAATTTATTGTCATTGTAAGTATATATATAATATATCCATACAATGAAACTCACAAAGACACCCAGAGACCAGACCCACATACACACACATAAAAAATCCCCAAAACCTCCAACCCACTAAAAATCCCCCACTAAGAATACAAACATCTACACCGCAGGCTAAGTAACACTGTCCGACTATTCACTGCTGGTAGTCTTTAAGCTCACTATTAAGTGCAATTATAGCTCTGGGATAAAAACTATTCAGAAAAAGTGTTGTCCGAGTCTTAATTGTTCTACTGTGAAATGGCAACAGTTCAAAAAGGTTGTAAGCAGGATGGGAAGAGTCTCTCAGGATGTTGTGTGACTTCCTCCGACAGCAAGATGTGAAGATGTCATCCAGGGTTGATAACTGGAGTCTGATGATGTTCTGATCTCTTTAAAACAAGCATGCTTTGCTCACTTTAGTGGCTTTTAGTTGTTTGCTCTGATATTTGATGGTGTGACTTCCTGCCAGATTTCAGTCCCACAGTTTTGAAGGGAGTCTTAGGGCTGCTAAATGGCCTTTGGCCCACAAGCTGCCCTTCCCTGCTATACAATATTTAAGTATTCTTGACAATGCAGGCTGCAGAAAAAGGCTGAGAGAGAGAGCAACTTGCCTACTAAATCCATGGCAGAGGTAAGCAGCAACCTGCAGACATAAAGAGGGTCTGAAGAATGCAATGGGGTAGATGACTAGAGTCCAAAGCTCTGATAAGCAGGTTTATCCAGTGCATGACAACAGTTGGGTAAACCAGCACACATAATGGGAAAAAGTAGGAAGACTGTTATGTAGGCTTGTTTGGGCAGGATCTAACATCGGAGTTCTCTTGGCAAAATAATAGAATCCAGCAGAAACAAAAGGGTACAATAATTCCCTATCCACTGAACTTACACAGCTCTCTACAGTGCTCAAAATTGGCTCTGGAGGGCTGGAAAATTCTCTGGAGCTAGAGGTGGACAGCATGGAAAATTATACAGAGAATGAGAAATGAGCTCTTCTGTGTTCACAACTAGTAAGGACAGATACTACACTTGCTCTTAGCCAAAAGGCCAAGAAGTAGTATGAAAGGGGGTGGATGGGCAGGGATCAAACCCATTAATTTAAATATGTGCTGGAATAAGAGGCTTTGAATAATGTTTCTAGAATTCACTTGAAGGAACTGCTATATTGTGAGAACCCTTTCCCACCTTTCTCAAAAGTGGTGTATTCTTTTGCATTATGGGAAAACTGGCTCCAACTGTTGGAGTTATTTCAACCTCGTATGCTCCCTCTGTCTGGGATAAATGTTTCTGGCCTGGACTGACTGTCAATCAATTCAGAAGCAATTGTTCCATCCCTGCCTCTGATTTTGAAGAGCATCACGCCTCTTTTCACCTTTCTTTTTAGTCTGCTGGCAGCTAGTACAGTTAGCAGTCTGTGCTGTTGGGAGTGCTGTTAGAATGTCTGCAAGAGCCTGCTGGGAGCAGACTGTGAGTTTGTAAAGGTCTGTTCTGTAAGCAGTCATTTTTGTACAGTACACTGTTTTTAATCTGTTCAGTGCTATGAATAAATGAAATGTTTTATTCTTTCTCTTACCAATGTCGCAGAGTGAGTTATTGAGACTGTAAGTGCCAGTTGATGAGAAGCAAAAGGGGTGGCCTACTCTGGGAAGGCTGGAGCTAATTCTGTTCTGTAAGTCCCTGCACTTCTACTGTGCAGCATGAGGAGTTTGCCCCAATTTTAAACTGCAGGCTACTCTGTGGTGCAGAAAAAGACAGGAAGAGAACAAAGTGCATCTTATCACACAGTAGCCAACCTGTAGTTGGGGAATGTTGGTATTGAAATGCAACTCCCATGATTCTTCACTGTGGTTATGCTGGCCAGGTCTCATGGGATCTACTGCTCAACAATGTTTATAGGATCACACATCCTCCACCCGATCCAAGGAGTGGCATACATAGCACTAATCTTCCCCAATACTGATGAAAGCCAGCCCTCATGTGAGCTAATGCTACATGGTGCACTGGCGGAGAAACTGTGGTTACCTAAATTCATACAGAAACAAAAATGGTACTTTTTCACTACAGCCACATCATATAGGAGACTTTAATGGAGCTTGCGTCTTTAAGATAACAAATACAGTGGTGATGAGGAGTAGCACCATACCTTGATGTATTTCAGCAGCTTACGTAAACCCCAAGGAACAACAGCCAGCCAGGAGCTGCCAGATGCAACAGGCCAGGATGGATCCATGACTTGCACTGCTTCTTGGTCTGAAAAAAAGCTTGGCTGACAGGAAGTATTATCTTGGTGCTTAATTTTGCGAGTGGTATAATAATTTATAGAAAAGAAATCAGCAGTGCTCTTGATCATCATTCTCTCTTCACTGGTGAATTCAGGAAGCCTTGATGATGGACAATTTTGCCTTTTACATACAGCAGAAATCTTGGATTTCATTATGGCTGGATAGTCTCCATCAAGAAATATTGGGGCAGCAAACCAATCCAGACAAAATGCCATATGCCTCTTAGCAGCTTCCTGGTCGGCAGGGGAGTTCGGATCAGAGGGTTCTGCCCAATCGGAGTTTAGTGCTATAGAGACAAGCCCACCCTGCTTTTCTCGGAAAAGTTTATCATAACTATGCCAGGCTGCAGCATGAGCTTTGATCATGTTATGAGCTGCTAGGTAGGCTCCAGTACCAGGTTCTGTAACACCTGGGGCCATAATGCCCTTTTCGTAGCCCAGTGCAGCAACAACATATGGCTCATTAATGGTGAGCCATAGCTTCACACGGTCCCCAAATGTTCTGAAGCAAAACTGAGCATAAGCATCAAAGGTTTCCACAATGGCACCTGATCTCCAGCCACCTTGATCTTCTAAATGCTGAGGCAAGTCGAAGTGGTAAAGCGTAACCACAGGTGTCACCCGATTTGCTAGCAGCCCATCAATCACTTTGTCATAATAATCAACTCCTAGGGAGGAAAGGAAGACAATAAGGATTCCATTTGCACTCAGTCAGACAAAAGGCGGTGGTAGTATCATTTTTTAATAAAATTCTACCATAGGACATCTGTCCAAGATCTCATGCAGGGTTCCTCCCCATGCCCCAGTAACAGACAGTTCTTCTATCTAACTGCATTAAAGGAATATATTTTAATATCTGTTTGGATGGAGCAGAATCTGTATGGCAAAAAACATTTTAAAAGCTTAATGGTTTTATAACATTCATAAGCATGTTATTTAATGAAATATAATGAACCTGCAAGGTGGGCCAACATTATTATTATCTCACCACTCCTGTAAGCTGACAAGAAAGAGGAAGCAGTTCACTTCATGGATAAGAGTCCTGTTGAGTCAGAGCAAAAATCCATTGCATTCAAGCACACTGTTCCCCATATATTGGCAAAATTAAAAAGAAGAGGAGGGGGGAAACGAAAGGGAAAAGGCAAAATATTGTGGCACTTTGAAACATATTGGCAAAATTAAAATGAAGAGGAGAGGGGAAAAGAAAGAGAAAAGGCAAAATATTGTGGCACTTTGAAGACCAGATTTATTCCAGTTTTTAAAAAAGAAAAAAAGTGGCTAAGAAAGAAAGAAAGAAAAAAGAAAAGAAAAGAAAAGAAAGAAAAGATATTATGTATATACATGTTCATTGTATGCATACCTCTTTCAGGTCGTTGCATTTTGTTTTTCTCAAAGGAAAGGATCAAGGGGAGACGGATTCCCAAAGAAATTGGGGTGGGGAATTAAAAAATAATCCCAAGGAAGCATGCTGGCACAGGCCGTCCAAAACAATTGAAAGAAATGGGGTTCCTCCAAACAAACAAAACAAAAGAAGAAGAAGAAGGATCTGACAGGCTCAGATAGCAATGCAGCACAACATGGAGGTTGCAAGGAGTTGACAAACTCACAAGGAATAACTGAAACAAGGATAGATCAATCCCTTGACAGGTTCGAACTAAACCAGACCCTTTTACAGCTTTAAAATTCTTGTTCCTGCCAGATGTTTGATTAGTTGCTAACAACAGCCTTTGTGATGTTATTGGATAGAAAATATCCCAGGAAATTCGAGGGAAGTGTGAAAGTGTGAAAGAAAGGTTGAATGAAAGAAGGAACCACATAAGAACCCTAAACATTTGTATTCCTCTGAAATAAAATTTTTGAAACACAAATCACTTGTGTTTCAGAAATTTTATTTCAGGAATCAGTGAAAAAACATAAAAAACAAAAACCCCAATTCTCGTTAATTTCATTAAAGCATTCTAAAACATTTTTTCTTTCCTTTTCTTTCTTCTGCTCCTTCATTAGAGATATGTAAACAGATATTGAATGGCCATCTGTCAAGGATGCTTTAGATCTGGATTTTCTGTATTAATGATGGCTAACCTTAGTAACACTTGGGGACTCTTCCAGCACCATACTTCTATGATTCTATACATACTAAACGGTAGATGTTCAAAAAAATTTAAGGCTATGTAAGATTAAAAGGGCTTAATCTATCTTTGAAAAACTTAGCTAGCAAAATAAGGCTGCAACTACACTGTCAGTGATTTGGCTCTGCTATGGCTTGATTTTCCTTGGGAGGAAAGCAATGACAAAGCTAGACAGCATCTTAAAAGGCAGACATCACCTTGCCGATAAAGGTCCACATAGTCAAAGCTATGGTTTTTCCAGTAGTGATGTATGGAAGTGAGATCTGGACCATAAAGAAGGCTGACTGCCGAAGAATTTATGCTTTTGAATTGTGGTAAGGTAAAGGTAAAGGTTCCCCTTGTCACTCATAGCTGGAGCGTGTTCGACTCTAGGGGGTGGTGCTCATCCCCGTTTCCAAGCCACAGAGGCAGCGTTTTGTCCGAAGACAATCTTTCCGTGGTCACATGGCCAGTGCGACTTAGACACGGAACGGTGTTACCTTCCCACGGAGGTGGTCCCTAATTATCTACTTGCATTTGCATGCTTTCGAACCGCTAGGTTGGCGGGAGCTGGGACAAGCGACGGGAGCTCACTCCGTCGTGTGGATTCGATCTTACGACTGCTGGTCTTCTGACCCTGCAGCACAGGTTTCTGCGGTTTAGCCCACAGCGCCACCACGTCCAGTGGTGCTGGAGGAGAATCTTGAAAGTCTCCTGGACTGCAAAGAGAACAAATATATCCATTCTAAAGGAAATCAACCCTGAGTGCCCACTGGAAGGACAGACCCTGAAGCTGAGGCCCCAATACTTTGGCCATCTCATGAGAAGACTCCCTGTTGGGAAAGTGTGAAGGCAAGAGGAGAAGGTGATCACATGGAACCTGTGGATTGTATCAGGGCCAATGCCCATTCAGTCTGATATGGTTAAATGTACAAACACATACACACATACTGTGGAAACAGTAGTCTGCTGTAGTTTGTCAGAGTTGTTTCTATCTCATAGCAATTTTTATCTTTCTTTTTTTAACTGTGCAGAGGTGCATTGATATAACAATGCAGTGATAAGGTGATCTAGTGCTAAACTTGATAGTTTACTTTAAAAAAATAACTACTTCAGGGCAACTAGGGAGAAAGATCATGGGGTTGGATTTTACACCGTCCAAAACTTCATGCCTAGCTTAGTATGTCACCAGAATACCACCAACAGTCCTTCCTACTTTTGGAAAATGAAACAATTGATCACATGGCTAAAACACAATTCAAATCACTCCAGCTTGAAAAAAGGTCAAGAAAACCAGGGACAGGGACAAAAACAACCTCAGTAGCAAAAAGACCCTGGCTGATTGCATCATGTGATCAGTTTTCAAATATATTCATTTTACTTCTGCAGCAAATTCTGTACTTGCTGTGTAGTCACTGTCTCAGTCTTGGAGACAGAATATTTCAAAATTATGTATGATGCCATCATTCCTTATGATAGCAACCTTATCACAGTCAAAGGAGGTACTAAAATCATGACCTCACCACACTTCAGGTGCCTGCTTTAGCCACAAGACTGTTCACAGAAAACAAAATGCTCCACAGAGTACCCTTCTCTAGAGCAATGTATAGTATTAAATGTCAGAACTGGCACTGTGAATTTAGCTTCTGCTTAAGTTCATGTAGACTTGTAAACCAGAACCATGACATTAGACATTTTAGATATGCACACTACTTGATGACTGAAGCATCAAGTGTTAGTACAGTAGAGTAAATAAGTTGCCACATTTCATAATACATTAAGAGAACCTTCATGTCAGAGATAAGATTTGGCCTGGTCTGGTACATTTCTTGGGACTGGGTGTGTTTCTGCCTTCAGACATAGAAGGAAAAAAGGGGTGCCCCATTATTAATAGGCAGGATGGTGTCTGGACTGGCCAAGATGTGCTGGCATACTGGCTTGTTCCCTAATATTGGTAACAGAACAATACTTGTATGCCTGTTGCACTTCTTCATGACTTCATTCCCCAGCACATCTTGACTCCTTGGTGTGTGTGTGTGTCACAGAGACAGACAGAGAGAGAGAGAGAGAGAGAGAGAGAGAGAGAGAGAGAGTCCAATGAACCAGTTAGTATAATAGGAGAAACAAGTCAATTATTAGGTTTTTTAAAAAAACTAAAAGAAGATGTCAATATATCATTAACAAATCTCTTATTAGGGCAGGCATCTACAGTGGTGCCTCAACTTATGAACTTAATCCATTCCAGAAGATGGTCATAACTTGAAATGGTCAGAGGTCGAAGCACCATTGTAACAGATGCCCCACATCATGCCTGTCACTCATAGCTGGAGCTCATTTGCATAAGCCTATGAGAGGACAGATGCTAATGCTAATGAGGGGAATGGAAAATTAGATCTCAAGAAATTTCCCCAATATAGAAAAGGTAACTGCTCAGAAGCCTTTCTTATTTCCTTTGAGTGCGCTTGCTGGGACTTTAACGTAAAAGTGGAGGAATGAATGATTGTGTTAAGGTCTCAGATAAGTGGGGATTTAGCTGTCATATATTCACAAATGCCCCTAGATCAAGCCAGTGACTTTGAGGCTTACAGAAAAATGATTTATTCGTGATATGGCATTAATGCAGAGCACCTGCAGTGAAAATTTTGTGCCCTGACCAAAAAGCCTGATGAATCGTATTCCCAGTTAGGGGCAAAATTAGTTCAATGCTTGGAGAAATGGATGGAGCAGGAAAATGTTACGTCTCTAGAACAAATGAAAAATGCTGGAGCAATTTTATTCTGTTCTACCTAGTGATTTAAAATATTTAGTGAGAGACAAAAAGCCTAAACATGTACAGGAGGCACATTCTATAAATGAGATAAGGAACCCCAAATTCTCTGAGGTAAAAATTGGAGGGAAAGTGTGGGACAACAGGAGGATAGGACCTAGAGATGACCTCAGGAACAATCAAGCTACTGGAAGCCATTTTAAACATAAACCTTCAGAGCTGAGTCACCAGAAACAAAATAGCTTTGAAGGAAAGGGTAGCAAGTCCTTGTATTTTGAACCCAGAGCCAATAAAACATGACATGGGTGTGGAGAGAAAGGACATTTTTGGTCTCAGTGCCGGACCACTAAGAATAGAGATGTTGGTCAGCAAAAAGGAGGGGAAAATTCCAGTCAGCCAAGGAAGATATATTGTGTACAGCAGAAGAAGACCTATTGTACAGAGAGGTCCTAGTGAATCCTAAGGGGGGAGGGGAAAGCATACATAAACAACTAGTCATTCATTTCAAATATAGAGAGAATTATAGAAAAGGAGCACAAAGACATTTGCAGCCCATCTAGGGATCTCAGAAACTAAGCAAAGGATTGCTCAAAATTTTTATTGGCCTGAGATGGGAAAGCAGGTAAAATTATATTGTCAAAGCTGTGACACCTGCCAAAGACAAGGAACTGGGAATGACAAGACCAAGGCTAAGCTGTGTCCTTTGCCAGTCATCTCGACGCCATTTCAAAGAATAGGCCTAGACATAGTGGGACCCCTACCCAAAGTGACCAAGTGAGGGAATAGATTTATT